GTAAGGTTTTTCAAAATTCAAACCATGAGAAACTGACATGTGAGTCATCTAATTTTTTGACATTTGTCTTTTTAATTTATTTATTGAAAAAAAATTATGTGTCTTTTAATAACTTAAGTAATTAATTCTAACAATTTAATAGCTCATTCTTATTTAAATTAACTCTAACAAGTTATAATTAAGTGTTTTGTCTACATTTATGTAATTCTTATGTAAATGAAAATATAATTTTTATGTAAATTTATGCATAGAAAATAGATATTTTATTTATCAAATCCAACAATATCTTATGCAAAATTTTTTTTCTTATATATAGATAACTGCGATTTAAAAAAAAAATCACAAACGAAAAGTTTTAATAAAAAGAAGCATAACATGAAAAAAGCAAAATTGATGTGAGAAAATTAAAGAATGATTTTAAAAATTTTAGGGCTGTTAAATCCAACAAATTTGATTGGAGAAATTTAGAATTTAAACATTTTTTTAAATACTCTCATAGTTTTTAAAGCCAATTTACCAATCACACTCTAATGCAATTGAAACAATTTGTGTTGGACATAACAACGTTTCTAACCAAGACTCACCAAAAAAAAAATTTGAATCCACCACAAATTGTAAATCCTGAAAAGCAAAATCACTTCACTAATGAGTTGATGTGAAAGATAAAAATCACAACAAAACGATAAACAAAGTGAGACAAAAATACAATCAAACATTAATTATCTCTCCTTATGATTCAAGGTTCTAATGAAATAAATAAAAAATGCATTCCAACAACTCTGTTGAGATGATGTAGATGTCTCGGTAGAAACAAAACATACTACAACTTGTCTGATCAATAGATTTTTACACATGTATTTGATGCAAAAAAAGACGACCAATCATTTTTTTAGGAAACCGTAGTGAATATTAATTCAGATATACAAGTTAAAGATTTGTGCCAAAAAGATGTCTTTCATATGCTATAAATTTATTAATGAACGGTCAATTTCTTTTCATATATAACATTGTATATGTGTAACAATTTGCTACAAATGCTTAATCTTCTAATCTAGATAATTATTTACTATAAATGCC